CTGGAGTAAATGATAGCAAGCATTGCCCGAGTTCAATTTCCTCTTAATTTCCTTCTGAATTAGGTTTCGATCTGTTATCGTCATTCCCAAATATGTGAACTGTGCCACATTTTCTAAACATCTGTTTCATATCTTTATGTCATGATTTTGCCCTACATCTTGGTGACGAGACAGCAACATACAAGTTGTATACTTAGTTTTCTCTGTGTTTTTCTTTATGGTATCTATATTATCACCCATTAGATTCGCCAACAACTGATGTGTCCCGTTTAGTTTCAGTCCCACCTGGTTTCCCTGGACCTTCCTAATTGCATATTCTAAGGCAAAGTTGAAAAGGAGTGGCGATAAAGCATCTCCTTGTTTTAGACCATTCTGGATAGGAAATTTATCAGACAAATGTTTACCTACACGGACTTTACTATACGTTTCGTTTAAACACATTTTAATCAGCCTAATTAGTTTCATGGGTACCCCAAACTCTATCAGAATATTGTACAATACTTCCCTCCTAACTAAATCATAGGCTTTCTTAAAGTCTATGAATAGCTGATGTACTGTCTCATCGTAATCCCATTTTGTCTCCAATATCTGACGAATGCAAAAGATCTGATCTGTAGTTGATCTGTTACGTCGATACCCATACTGATGATCCCCAATAACCCCACTAGAATTAAAAAAAAAGTTACACAGCAGCAAAGCATGTGCTGTCAACCTCAGTGACGAAACGCGACTTTTGAGGGAGTAAAGGAAATAAATTTATTTAGGGATTTTGACGTCACATACGTATAATGCTACGCTTGCAGAAAACTGAAGATCAGAATTTCGAAGCAAAGTCTGGATTAAATATGGACCGAGAAGCTATATGTTTCCTATGAAGCCCAGAGTCACGTTAATGACAATCTCCATTTCTACGATTGAGGAGTCTGTTAAATAGAGCATTTTTTTTTTACGTAAGATGAAAAAACACACAAGATCAAAGGTTCCAATGAAGTTCAACGGTAACTGAGAAACAAGCACTTTTAAACAACAAAGTTTATGGTGTATTCTTCTCTCTGAATTGCGGTTCAGCGCAAAAATTCTTGTGAACACATTTTAGGTAGAACGTTTCGAGCAATTCCTCGCCTACGCAGAGTAGACAGGACGGTTCTTCTGCCGTAAGAATTGAAACTGAAGGGTCCTCCGAAACGTCGGTAGCTTCTAAATATAAATCACACGGCGCCACATGCCCAACGCCATCAGCAATCCCAAACAGCACACTTCTCAAGCACCATACTTCAATTACTGCAAGCTCAACACGTTTAATAACTTGTATTAAACTGACGCACAAAATGAAGGTTATTTTGTCGAACGTTCAGGCGTCCGTGCTGATTGGTTCATATGAAACAGCGGATGATGGGCTGCGATCTGTACTCAGAAAGCAAATCACTCGAAGTTCTGAAGACACTTCAATGCTCCAAGGCCTTGAGAAATTACAGGATAAGCCCTACTAAGCTAATGATACTTTTCATGATGGAAGCAGAGAACTCTTAGGCGTGTATCTTGTGGCAGATTTTAAGACGCTGTCAATATCTAGACTAACTGGAGTCGACTGGTAGGGTGACAGATGAATGATAAATTGTAATGTTTTGGAAGCAAACGGTTGTGAGGGAAGAACTAAGGAAAACTGTGCCAGGACAGTCGGTGTGCCGACCGAGAGTCGAACCAAGCGCCTCTCGTATAGGAATCAAAAGCTTTCCCGCTACATCAGTCTGTTTGATCACACATGTACACACATTATACCACAGTAACATTGGCCTGAACAGATGTACAAACAGGGCAACCGGTTGCACAGATAAATATAACTTAATAACTACGGTAATAACAAATGAGGTTAGGGTCCAGTGGCTGGTGCTTGTGAATACAGTATGATAATGAACTTTTGGGCTCAACAAAACTAACTGAACGACTATCAGCTTATTAAGAAGGACGCTATTGCAAGGAGCGACTTACATTAACATAACTGCATTAATACCATAAAAGAAAGTTAGGAGAGATATTTCTATTGCCTTATTCCTGATATTCTATTCCTGATGGGGTCTACCCTGAAGATGCAGGCAGTATATTCTTCGAAATGTTCGTAAATATCTACCAGACTACACGGTGCCATATCCCAGATGAGTGCATTCTCAACAAAAACTCAAACCACATTGCCACTGAACTGCCTGGCACCGGAATTCAAACTGAGCAGAAGGCAAAGTTCCGCTTGTCGCTTTGGCGACGCCTGCTCCACTGTCTGGGCCTTCACCGAACCGACTCCAAGTTTCCATATGACAGAATGTCGGAGTACTGTCTCGGCTTCTGCGTCGGGAGAGAGTTGAAGAGAATCCCGAAAACGTTCAGAACATCCGAGACTCGACCGCGGCCTATAGCCTCGAGTGGTACCACTGCAGTAAGCCGCTCAGCCAACAACAGCGCATATAATTTGCGAAATGTTGAGTCGAGCAAAATGCAGCCGGTCTCATTGTGTTAACGAAACATTCCAACAGTTCCAAGCAATTTAGAAAAGATAAATGGGATGACCTAAAAATTCTTTCTAGATCCCTCATGCGGCGCCCGCGCATGCGCTGCGCCCATTGCAGTGGCAGTCCTGCAGATCGCACACCCACCCCGCTGGGCTGCCCAACGTTATCCATCTAGTCCCCTGAGAAAGGCAGCGGACTCCACACATCGTTAAAAACGTAATAACTTTACTAGGTTTCCGTAAGAACCCTGGAGGAAAGAGAACACTTGAAAGACATAGGCGTCGGTAGGAAAATACCATTAAAGTGGATCTAACAGAAATACGGTGGTGAGGTGCTGACTTGATTGATTGGGGACTGGTGGTCAGCTCTTTTGAATACGGTAACGAACCTGCGGGTTCAAAAAAATGATTAGTATTTCTTGTCTAGGTGAGCAACCGCTAGCTTCTGTTACTCCACTGAGCTAATTATCAGCTTGCTGACTTAATGTAGAGCTGGCACATTACGTAATCTCGATACAACAGTTTATCGATTCGAACCGATATTTGTAGACTCGGAGACCTCCTGTAGCAAGTGCCACAACCCACAGAGCCCAAGTGCAAAACAAAGCCATTATATAATAATAAAAATAATAACGACAATGAGAAGGAGGATGAAAAGAAGACGAAAACTGCCTGTCAGGCGAAAATAATTCACAATCGCTCTAGGCCTATGCGGTTGTATTTTTACTCCTGCCCATCCTACAAGACTGTGTCGTGTAAGGTAAATCTGTGGTTACACTTCTTAGTAACACATAATGCTTCAGTTCATACCTCGCAGGAAACGCATTACGTCTCCGCTACAGAGCCCAACCGGTTAATGCTGTTTAGGGAAATTATCGCTGTTTACTCTGAGAACCATATGGAACACATTAATACACTGTGTGGGCAGAATGCACTATATATAAATTCAGTTCGTATCTCACGGGAAACACATTACGTCTCCGCTACAAAGCCCAACCGGTTAATGCTGTTTAGGGAAATAATCGCTGTTTACTCTGAGAACCATATGGAATACATAAATACACTGTGTGGGCAGAATGCAGTGTGTAAAATAAACCCAGTTCGTACCTCACAGGAAACACATTACGTCTCCACAACAAAGACCAACCGGTTAGTGCTGTTTAGGGAAATAACCGCTGTTTGTTGTGAGAATCATGTGGAACACACAAATATACTCTGAGGAGAGAATGCACAGATTCACAATGTTACAGCAGGTGGTACACATACTTACCACTGTACTCTATATGTTTAACTGTTTCAATCCTTTACTGCAACCATATTCATACCTGGACACGACTGGTCTGATCCAATAACCGTAGATATTCATGCTACAGAATGTATCTATGCACAGTCCTTCCTCGTCTACAAAATATCTATCACTGAACATTTAGAAATTATCTGGTAAAAATTCTTTTACAAAGGAAGTTGTGAAAGAAAATTGTAATGTCCTTGACATTTGAAAAATTGAAAGTTTCCATCACACACTCAAAAGCTTAACCCGAACTCCTGGATATTCTTATAATGGACCAAGACATAGCACAGGGTGAGATTCTCAGACTGGAAGAAATCCAACCGAGCCTGTTGTGTTCATTTGTTTCGTCAATTTTTGTCAATACTGCGCCTGTGCTTGTCACTGCGACTTTCGACTGTCACATTATGTCGTTGACGTCGTTAAGTAATAATCTTTCTTCAAGGATATCTACGATAGTATCTATTAAAAATAATACAGCAGGACGCCAGCAGTTTCATAGCTTGAGAGCTTGGGTTCGTTGTCATGTGGGCGTACCAATGCGTTTCACAGAAATGCGAATGTAGGCAGATGCTTGAAAAACAAATTGAAGTGACTTTCCAATTCGACCCATTTAAAGCAAAGTTATTACTACCAAGAACCAACCAACCTGAAAGATTATTTGTTCTTCATTTCCTTACATGATATTCAGTATATGATATTACATTGCATATATTTCACCATGCTCAAAAAATTTGATAGAAACAAAAGACATTTCATTGAATATGGATTTTAAGAGGAAAATAAAATTTCCACCGAGAACTTGTAGCAACTTTTCGAAACAGAATGAAGTGCTAACATATCTTGAATTCTTCGAATCGTGGGTTCCAGTTAGAAGTGGGGGGGGGGCAGGCGCATGTCTCCCTCTCCGTCGATTATTTTAGATATCAAAATTACAAAAGAAAGAAATAGAATAAACATTGATACCTGAAATTTGAATTATTCCTTTTTAAATGTCCTATCGTGAATGGCCTAGGTCGATCAGTAGAAGTCGCTTTGAACAACTTAAATATAAGTTTAAAGTTAATTTTCTGCCTGCCCGACGCGCATGCTCTGAACAGAACAATTTAAATCAAGCAACATGGCGTGTTTCTATTTTTGTTCATGAATTTTTGGAAACAGAAGTAAGGGGCACAACTGACTACCTTTATGCGATGGGCCCAGTTGCAGTACCTGCGCTCCGATTTATGTAGAACTCGAAAGCGGCAAGGGGTCCAAATGTAGACGAGCACCGCGAGTCCCGGTGATCCACAAGGATCTCCCAACCAGGAAGAGTCCCGGTGATCGGGTCGGACACTTTGCGGACCGCCAGCTGCACGGCGGGCAACACTCGATACAGGGACTGCTCGTGCTCGCGATCCGCGGGCGCTATAACTGCCAGGCGCACCACTCTTCGTCCTGTTGCGTTCCTCCCTTCCACCGAGGGCGATACTAGGACCACCAGAACCAGGACCGTAACAGCCACTCTACCACGACGAACCTTGCGTATCCTCTCACACAAGAGGCTCATGACTTCGACAGGACTTGCTGATGGCAGACGCAGAATCAACTGTTTTACTGAGCCTACACTCCGTAGCAGGAAAGCTGGTCCACCAGTAAATTCGGCTACCACCATTAGAGGCGCTGCAATCCATTGCTTTCCCTGAAGTACAGCACCACAGCTTGTCTTTAAGTAAAACGTAAGGCCGCCAACCCGAGGCTCTAGAAACTTCCTTGCTACTGTCACTGTCAGAATTACACACTTCACGGTTACTGACAAGAAACACCCAGAAAGTAAGAGCAGTAAGGAAGTGGCCATGTCGGCCATACTACTGGCTGTTCCGCGCGCGGGGAGAGCTGGCCGGGGCGGCCATACACCACACGTACCCAACACTTTGCATGGCGCAGGCAGACGGGCTCAACCTGAGGGAACAAGCATTTGGTTAGCGCCGCAACAAGAACACAGAACAGGAAAAGGGACAGTGGTGCAGCTGAGATGCGAGTGTAGTACTTTCAACAGACAGCATGGACACCAATTTAATAGGCTCACATTTGGCATGACTGTACGCTGGTGTTGTGCAGTGACAAGTGATTGTGACTAAACTGTGCGCTTATGATTGCCACCGGACTTTAATTAAACGCACCGCACAATTAGCAGTTCATGAATGTAATTACATGACTTGCAGAATGGAGTGCAACCGAGGCAGAAAACGTTTCGCTTAATATTCATTCGACTTACCGACACATGCTGCAAACAAAACGTGTGCACTAAAGCGACGTGTAGCGATGAGCCTGACAATCATTTTGGGCTCAGAAAACACCTCAAACGACGGGAAAATACGGAACGTTCGGAAACCCTGATCTGGGAATTGTCCTCTCTTACATCTAATGACGGAAAAATTAGTTTCCGAAATGTTGCCAGAAAAGCTCAGGACCATACATAGACCCCCAAACAATAGTGAAATTTACAGCAGCAACATTTCGACTTAGTCGTTCGGTGTTTCGCGCTATAAGAAAGATAAAGCTCGGTCGGAAATTGAACATCTGAACCAGAGTTTTACGTCTAAATCCGTATAACAGTTCGTGTCTGTCGGTCGGGTAAAGGACTGCTGAAACTCGCCAGCACAGTCATTCTTCGTTCCGAGTCCCGCTGGACTCATAACCACATTATACAGTCTCAGCGATTCAGGGGTCGTACAACTGTGCACTCGAGCAGGTATCGTGTCTCTGGCGATCACTTAAATTACCAACTTTAAACATTTCTTTTCCTTCCTTACCCTTCCTTTCAAGTGCTAAGCCTTAAGGCATGTTACGGCCTCGAGTTTTCTGTCCGCCTTTTCACTGCGCGCCCTCTTCATCTTGTCCCCTTGCGTCGGCTCTCCGTTTCGTCTGTTTCAAACACTGAAGAGTACTCTGTCTTCTAGAATATGACGACTCGAAGTTTCGTAGAAGTTTTTCGACCTCTCAAGAGAAACATCTTGTCTCCGTCTTCATGGTCAGTAAGCCAAGTAACAAGCAAGGAAGCTTATTCTTCTACCCTGTACATGGAAGCAGTATGTTACTTCCGAAACATCGGTAAACTTCTAACAGACTATATGGCGCCTCGTTCCAGAAGACTATACTCTTCAGACACGACCGTGAATACTTCAAATAAAAAAGAACGGTTTCTACACTTCACATTATTATTATTCAGTGGTTGTCTTTGTTTGCATTTCTTCCCGTTCTGAAGTATTTAATTACAGTGAATTAACTGGATTTATTCCCGTGGTATGAAATCAGTCAACAAACAGTACGCAATCGGAACCATCCAACGACAAGCAGAGTTTGTAGTGCCAGTAGCATCGGCGTGAGTACCGAGGGCGGTCTCTGTGAAGCGTGATGGAGAGTTGCAAATGCAGATAATTTCAAGTGGGGACTGCCAATCAATATCACATAACGTGCTGCACTGTTCTGGTGCCCGGCGCACGCCACTCCACACAACATGAAGGCTTATAATCGTGTGAACAAAACGTCACATACCGTCGCTCAAATGTTCTCCGTGTTAAAGTCGCAGATAAACGTGATTACAGCATGTCATCGCCGCAGAAAAGCAAGCAAGCAAACAAACAAACAAAGCCTCGAGTATATCAATCATTATTAATGTGAATACCCGGAATTCGTCACCGCCGGAAACATTAAATGTTGACGCCTGTTATTCCGGTACGCTGCTGCTCTCTGTCGGCAGTACCGACAAACAGACCAGGCTGCTGTCGCGATGGAAGCAGGTGCCACAAACATAAGGAGAAATAAACAGCACTTCTGTATAAAATTTAATTTCCGCCTGTCAATTGATTTCAGTCGTTTCGAAGTTCTGATTTAAAAATAACACTTGCAGAATTAGGAGTGAGGTTCTGCAGTACTTTCTGAGGCACCGCATAGAATTTGACAAGTGCAAAAGAAACAGACTCCTGGAAGACAAAAGAGCAGATTCGATCTTAAAGAAACAGGACGAGAGAGTGTGAGCACGGTAATGACCGTTACGAAATTCATCTGAGGAACCTGAGAAATGCCATTAGAAAGCGGAGATACGAGCCGCATATGGCGGTCTGGACGCGCAGACGCACTGTGCAGTAAAGAGGAGACCAAGAAGGCTAAATGAATGCATGGAAAGGCGCAAAAGAAAGGTGCCAACAAATGCGGAGAAACGGCGCCAGCGCCGACGAAGACGTCAGGTGCAGTGTTAATTGCCTTAATGCGCCGTGCTCAAGTTGAGAAGCCGCAGTTCGTGGCCGTGAATTAATTCGCCCGTACCACTGGAACAGTTGCTTACTGTCTGTCTCAATGCGACGCTCCATGTTACAGGCTCATTAAGATGCGCGCCCCAGGAACCGGCCCGCCCGGCCGCATCTCCTGCTCTGAGAGGGAACAGGCAGACCGAGTCTTCGAGTCTAATCTTATTTAACGGCACTGTTTCAACTGCAGAGGCCACTGCTTTGTCAAATAAGAAGATAGACTTTTTCATAGTAGACTTCATTCTTGTGGAGAGACTGAGGAATCCCACAAGACCGCCGGACGTTTTGCCGTGGGGATAATGTTGTTGTACGTCATTCACCTGTTACGTTTACGTCATGCAGCTCGCAATCATTTTGTGCAGGCTTGTATGATGGAATGGGCAAGTAGCTCGGATGAAATATACAAGAAAACAGAGTTTTGGTGAGGAAGTCTCTTGTTAAGTGACAGCGTGAATAATCACAATGGCTGCTGTTATTAGTAAGTAAATTAGTGGCATTTTAATGTACTAATTCTGACAAATAATGACTGAGTAAAAGCCATGGGTGGGGGTGCCAAGCAAATCAAGAACTAGTGACTAAACAAATAACTGCGAAGAGTGGCCGCGACTGAACCCCGTTGCGAGAACTCTGGTGGAAACGTTCAAGCTGGCCCTAACACCATTTCGAGGCAGCTCACACAGCGACTTACTGTGGGATAAATTCAGTTCATCTCTGATGCGGCGCGTGGTTGGGTACAGAGTAGTGCAGTCCCCGTGACCTTATAGCTTCAGGTCTCTACGCACGCCCTACGTAACTGAACGTAACTGCAGCAGAACAGATTTTCTCGAGGCTCCTTTCTCCCCCTTACAACAGTACTGAGTGTTCCACGCCATCCTTCCCCCTCATTTACAATCACCATTTTCAAGAAAGTGATCTCGTTCAGATGATGTGCCGTTGACATGTAAGTTATCTATTCCTCTAGGCTGCCTAATCGGAAAAGAAAATGGTTCGGTAGTGCAGGGTTACCTAGCCACAGGACAGCAGCACTCGTGCGAGTAAAGTGAAGCATAGAAAAATGAGGTTCGCTCTCAGCAGCAATACGAAACCAACGACTGGGATTGAGCTTCTGCTCGTAGGAATTGAGAAAATAATTAAATGAAATGTGGGTTGACTTCAGAATCATCCAAATAGGAAACGCACAATAAACAAACAAATCTGTGGGCCACGTGAAGGAGAAATTGTTTCTCTCGTGTTCCAAGAGACTTAAGGACAGAAAAAGGAAATGAAAGAGATTCAGAACTCAGACCGAGTGGGGATATCCGGAGTGCCTTCAGGCCACTCTGCACGGCAACAACATCAGCTCTGAAGTGTACGCGTCTCGTTCACTTCTCACACGTTTCCTAAACAACACTGCAGTTCCTGGATTCAGAAGTCGGTGAACAAGGCGACTTTTTGTCGGTAGGCGGGGGACTGGCTGGCTCTGAAACTGAAATTCACGAAAGCCCGGCAAGTGCGCAGGCTGCAGAACACCTGAAGGCTGTAAGACTAAGATGGTCTTGGGAGTCAAACTGACAGACCTGATGAGGTTCTCGCGGCGATGGATATTGGCCTTAAGGGACATGACGCCGTGTAGTTTGGTAGATGAAAGTTAACACTTTAAAGGGATCCGACACCTCCATCTTCAGGGTGGAATAATCCCAACCGCGAGGGAAGACCACAGACTGAGGGCGCTGGGAAAATTTATATTCACCAATTATTACAGGGGTCATCGAATCAAAGAGGATGCAATGAGGGGTCATGTAGTACGCACGGAAACGCTAATAAATTGTACGAAATAATTGGTGAACTTGGAAAGTAAAGCTTACTTGAGAGACATAAGCGTAGATGGGATATATTATTCAAGATGATCATTTGCAAATAGGGTGTGTTAGTGTGAATTGGACTGAACTGGCTCAGAATAGACCGGTGATTCCACACTGTGGATACGGTTGTTGTAATCCATATTTTACGACATGTTTAAGTTGGTTATTTAATGACGCCGTCAGAATCGATATTATATAGAGTCGACTTCATGTCATGAACTGAAGGAACTAAGCATAACAATATCTAAACAGCAGGATACTTCGTCTTCCTGCTAACAAATTGCTGTATTTCCTATAAAAAGGAAAAGACAACATGTTGCGGTATCTGTCAGGTACTGAGTATCAAACTGCGATGCTCAAGCTCACATTAAAGCACCAAGTTACGAACACAAAACGTTGTGCAACACAGCAACGTCGCAACATCAGTCACGCGGTCCGGTGTAACGCGCACGCGCATTCGAAAGTGCGTCTTTGCTGCGGCTGTCATTTGACCATGGTGCAGCGCATCCTCAGGTTGCGGATGGAGGAGACGACCTCCACATATGGACGGTAGCTGCGAATGTATTGAATAAGCAGTCGCATACAGCCGACAAGGGATAGTCCTCCAGGTTGGGGGTTGCGCGTTGGACTAACAAGTCACAATTAAAAATAAGTTTGTTACGCAATGTCACAAAGGACCTCGGACTTGGAAGGATTCTTTGGATAAACGACCTAAGCTAAGGAAAGTGGACATGAGATTTGGTAAGTGGAATATAAGGTCTGTATAGGGCAGGTTCGCTCGTGTCAGTTGAGAAATAAATATTAAAATACA